TCTTTCCCTCCTCTCTCTCTCTTGATATTAAGCAGTAACGTCAGGATTACACAAGAAATAACTGTCAAAGCCAGCATTTAAACCTGGATCTTCCCTGACTCCAAAAATTGTTTTTTCAGGTGTCATTTGTGATTTCCTTTTTTTTTTTTTTCCCACATCTTTATTGGAGTATAAATGCTTTACAATGGTGTGTTAGTTTCTGCTGTATAACAAAGTGAACCAGCTATACATATACATATATCCCCATATCCCCTCCCTCTTAAGCCTCCCTGCCACCCTCCCTATCCCACCCCTCTAGGTCATCACAAAGCACCGAGCTGATCTCCCTGTGCTATGAGGCTGCTTCCCACTAGCTATCTAGCTTACGTTTGGTAGTGTATATATGTCAGTGCCACTCTCTCACTTCGTCCCAGCTTGCCCTCCCGCCCCCAACCCCCCGTGCCCTCAAGTCAGTTCTCTACGTCTGCATCTTTATTCCTGCCCTGCCACTAGGTTCATCAGTACGGCTTTTTAAAATTCCATATATATGCATTAGCATACAGTATTTGTTTTTCTCTTTCTGACTTACTTCACTCTGTATGACAGATTCCAGGTCCATCCACCTCACTACAAATAACTCAATTTTGTTTCTTTTTGTGGCTGAGTAATATTCCATTGTATATATATGCCACATCTTCTTTATCCATTCATCTGTTGATGGACATTTAGGTTGCTTCCAAGTCCTGGCTATTGTAAATAGTGCTGCAATGAACATTGTGGTACATGTGTCTTTTTGAATTATGGTTTTCTCAGGGTATATGACCAGTAGTGGGATTGCTGGGTCATATGGTAGTTCTATTTTTAGTTTTTTAAGGAACCTCCATACTGCTCTCCATAGTGGCTATATCAATTTACATTCCCACCAACAGTGCAGGAGGGTTCCCTTTTCTCTGCACCCTCTCCAGCATTTATTGTTTGTAGATTTTTTGATGATGGCCATTCTGACTGGTGTGAGGTGATACCTCATTGTGGTTTTGATTTGCATTTCTCTAATGATTGGTGATGTTGAGCATCTTTCCATGCACTTGCTGGCTGACTCCAAAATTTTTGCTTTTAGAAACTACAATATTTCACTAAATCCAAGATGCACCACTAAGAAAAAACATTACCAGTTATAATCATAAGATGCTATCTACTGTAAGTCACATTTGCTCCAGAGAATTACACTGAGTGAAAAAAGTCAATCCCAAAAGATTACATACTGAACGATTTCATTTACATAACATTCTTCAAATGACAAAACTATACAAATAGAGAACAGATTAGTGGTTGCCACAGTTTAAGGATGGGGGGGCGGATGGAGACTAAAGAGAAACGTGGGTAATTTTGGCAGTGATAGAAATGTTCCTGGCTGTATCAGTGTCAATATCCTGGTTGTGATATGGTACTATGGTTTTGCAAGATAATACCATTGGGGAAACTGAGTAAAAGGAACATGGAATCTCTATGTATTATTCCTTACAACTCCATGTGTATCTATAATTTTCTTCAACTAAAAACAGTTTAATTTAAAAAAGTTATAGAAACAAACAAAAGACACATTTGTTTTCAGAGATATTAAAATGTGAAAAAAATGTACATATAGTGGAATTGATAAAATGGTATGCTACACTGCCTCCCCTCTTCTGATCTCCAGACTTCCAATCTGTAGGACATACAGTTTTGCTTAATTAAGAATTAGGCATTAGTCTGTTCTCCCCAGTCATAACTAAGCCTCTAGGCTTGACTTTTGCAAGCCATCAGCATCCTCTACTTACACAGCACCTGATCTAGATTCACTCTGTTAACCAGGCTCCTGCTGCTACCCCAGTCCCAGACCAACAAGGAGCACCCTCCTTATGAAGGCAGATCATTCCAGAAGAGGTTAGTTTGCTGCTATTTAGTTTGCTGCTATTTCGGTTACCTTTGTCAAAGCCCGATATTTTAATTCACCCCTCCCCCACTCTCAATGTAACCCTTGGTGATAGGAAGATCTCAGGATGCAATAGGCTTAAAATGGCTTAGGGCAGTGGTTTTCAAATTGTGCTCTGAAGATCCAAGGAGGTAAGGCTCCAGGCCCCTCGCCCCCACATCAACCAAGATAGTTAAGCTTCTATATTTTACTCTGGGTACCATGCTGTTGTGAATACCCTCAATCATATACATCTGTCTTAAATACACTAAAAAGCAACAATAAAGATTGACTGGTTCTTTTAATATTCTCGACATGCAGTACCATTCAACAATACTAACACAGGACTCGTTCTAACAAAGAAAGGCACAGACTCTAAAATTAATACTCCAAAGAGTAGACTTACTTTTGTTGGCATCCACTCATCAAGTCTCTTATCCAAAACTACATCATAGCAGAAGGCTCCAGTGATTACTGCAAATCCAACCAAAATAAAAAGCAAAGTCAAATCTGTTAGGGTAGAAAGTTACTAATTTGCAACAAATGAATATTTAGACCATAAAATGAAGGGTCAACAATCTCTCCCAACACTACAAATTATAAAATTGTCACCATTATTCCAGCTGCTTGTCAGAGCTATACCAACTTTCCCCCCCACCATAAAACTAACTCACCTTTTTGTTAACCCAACATCACCAGTATTTTTTAACCATTCACATTTTCTTCGGGAATATTACCACCACAGAGATCTCAAATATTAGTTACTAGATATAAAAATTCCTAAAGAGTAAGATATTTAATAAGTACATGAATAACTAAATGGACATGAAATGTTTAAGTTCTTTTTTAATATCTTCTAAATTTCATTTTTTGTTTTGTTTTGTTTAGAATCATTTACTGCCAAATCAAATACTTTTTGGTATATAAACTTCCACCTTTTTAAAAAAAATACAATTGTGATCCTACTACACATACTGTTGCAAAATCCTAGTTTTAGGAAAATTACAAAGAATGTGAACTCTTCCACCTCCCAAAAATGGTACTCCTCTCCAGTGTCAGGGTCATTTCTGGTGAAATGGTACCACCTAAACACAGTTTTCTACAGAAGTCTATTTATACTCATATCTCCTCCTCACATTCTGTTTGGAAATAAGTACTTAAAATGCTAAGAAATAAATACTGACACAATATAACTACATGAAATTCACATTCAAAAGAAACACTCCCCTCTAATTCTGTTAATAATTGACCGCCAATAATTAAATAAAATGGATTCTTTTACCATTATAAATAGAAGGTATATATGACAGTAATAGGATGGATTTTGTTACCCATAATAAATGGAATGTATGTATGATGGTAATTTATATTAGACTAAATTAGAAGTGAACTCTATACAACAAAAATATGTACCAAAATATTCAAAGATTACAGAAAGTGTCTGTGTATCTATATACATATATATATATATGTATATAGACAACACACACACACACACATATATGTTTATTTATTTATTTATATGTGTACATCACCTGGAACTTCTGGAGCTCTGACCAAACTGACCGCATATTCATCTTTGAATGCCCTCTCTATCACGCAGCCCATCATCATGGCACAAGAACGCCAATAAGCCTAGAAAAATAAAATACACACAAACATAATAAACACAAGATTTACTAACATTTCTTTAATATTAAAATTTAGGTTGACTTTTGACTTAGGAACCATTTCGCAAATATCTGTCCATCCTCCACATTTAGCAATGGCTACCATCAGACCATGACATGACCACCACCAAGCAAAACCCACAAAAGAATGAAGCACCAACTTCATGTGGTTAGCAATGTTTGTATAAGATATCAGACACTATAATGTTTATCAACCAATAAATAGTTTTACTAACGGTAGTAATTTTATTTTTAACCCAGGATAAAGTTAACTTGTTAACAAACTTGTGCTAAAGTAAAATAAATATATTAAAATATACCTGTTTATAACATATATAAATATGGAGGGATAACCCAACTTTTTTTTTTTTCCATCTTTACTGGAGTATAATTGCTTTATAATGGAAGCTAACTTTTAAGAATTACTTATGGGCTTCCCTGGTGGCGCAGTGGTTAAGAATCCCTCTGCCAATGCAGGGGACATGGGTTCAAGCCCTGGTCCAGGAAGATCCCACATGCCACAGAGCAACTAAGCCCGTACGCCACAACTACTGAGCCTGCGCTCTAGAGCCCACGAGCCACAACTACTGAGCCCACGTGCCACAAGTACTGAAGCCCGTGCGCCTAGAGCCCATGCTCCACAACAAGAGAAGCCACCGCGATGAGAAGCCCACGCACCGCAACGAAGAGTAGCCCCCGCTTGCTGCAGCTAGAGAAAGCCCGCACATGGCAACAAAGACCCAATGCAGCCAAAAATAAATAAATAAAAATAATAAAATTTTTAAAAAGAATTATTTATGACTCCTATCCTATACCTAACATCACATATCACTTAGGTTATTCATATTTATAACAAAGCAACCTCACTATTAACTGGGCTTCCATCTCACTAGCATTTTGATCCATGGACATGCCCAATATGGGTATCCATGCAATGACCTTCCCAGAGTCATAAAGAGAAACATAAGTCCTACACCATCTTAAGCTCTGTACTGGCACTACTATAACTAGGTACTTGGCTTTCCTAAGCTCTTCTCCGTATCTGAGGACAACAAGAGTGGGCTCATTTGGTTGCACATGGCAGAGACTGCTCCAGAATGTGTTCTACACAACCACACAAATACACTAAAAATAAGTGCAAACCCAGGCCTTGAAGGCCAGTAGCAAAATGCCCTTCTTCATCTATCTGACTTGACTGTTTTTAATGTCTGGTGAACTCCAGGGTCAATGCCTAGGTTCAAATCCAGGCTCAGCCACTTAGCAAACTGGTAACCTTGGTCAGGCTACGACACCTCTCTTTGCCTCAGTTTATTTATCTGTAGAAAGGAGATAATAGCACCTTTTATGGGATTTTTTTTTTAATGAGGATTAAATGAGTTAATACCTGTGAATCACTAAAACAGTGCCTGATATACAAGAAATGTTCAGTGTTAGCTACTACTATTATCATGTCTACCATTTCCTTCTTTAAGTATTTCATTTCAACAAATATTTATTAAATACCTACTGTATGTAAGTCAAGGACAAGATCTAATAAGGGACATGATCCCTGTCTTCACAGAGCCAAGAATCCAGTACATTCAACAGTTCGTATTACAAGGGAAAATCAAACTACTGTATCTAGAGACACTAGCCACATGCTGTGAGGCCCGGAAGAGGGATTCATTCTGACAAGAAGAAACTGAGAAGGTTCCACAGAGCATATGGCATTTTAATTGAAATATAATAGATAAACAGGATTTTAATAGGGAGGAAAGAAAATACTCGAAGAGCACCAACAAAAGCAGGGAGGATAACACAACAGAAACCATTAGTGACCAAGTCCTCCAGTGTGGCTGGAGCAAACAGGAAGTGGAAAGATGCTGTGGAAGGTGAAGCTCAAAAGGCAGGTGAGAGTGAGAAAAGTGTCCACGCAGAGCTGGGAAATTTATATGAACGGTTATCAGGTAGGCAAGTTCTTTAGGAATAAGTGACATCATCCTTACTCACATCATGTAATAAAACTCTTGCAGGACTATTAAGGAAGTCTTTCAGATTAAAAAAGGGGGGTGGAGGCTTCCCTGGTGGCGCAGTGGTTGAGAGTCCGCCTGCTGATGCAGGGGACACGGGTTCGTGCCCCGGTCCGGGAAGATCCCACATGTCGCGGAGCAGCTGGGCCCGTGAGCCATGGCCGCTGAGCCTGTGCGTCCGAAGCCTGTGCTCCGCAAAGGGAGAGGCCACAACAGTGAGAGGCCCGCGTATCACAAAAAAAAAAAAAAGGGGGTGGGGTGGGTGGGAGAGTTAAAAAGTTATTGAAATAATCTAGAAAAGATGGTGAAAGACAAGAATGAAATTACTGCAATATACAGGGTGATTAATAAAAGTAAGCTGAACAAAGATATGAATGTCATTTAGTTTTCTCAAACCAAAATACAGAGACATTAATGCCACTGAGGATTTTTGAACTATGAACATGCCTAATCTACCAAGTAAAACCCTGATTATCTAGTACAGTACAACATTTGACCTTGGCCAGATTTGTACATTTCAAACTCCATAGGAAACAGATTTTAATTTTAAAAAAGGCTAGAAAAAAAACTGGGGGGGAGGGGAACAAAAGAACATAGAGGCAGAAATACCTTATTGACTTCTCCCGGATCATCATCTTTGAAAGTAAGAAATTTAATTTCACATGACTTGGTCAAAGGCTTATACATGTCCCAAGGCTGTCCGTCCACAAGAGCCAGAATGGACTTCCTGCAGTACCACTCACTTAAATCTAGGAATTTAAAACAGATTGAAGATCTAACTCTAACAAAACCCAAGTGAAAAATTACATGTTTAAGTGCTACATTAAGAAATAAAACAACAGAAAGGCAAGATTCTGCAAGCTGTCTTTTTTGGGGAGAAAAAAAAGATTTGTAGCCAATAAAAAAATAATTCCCAACACATCCAATGTATTGCTAATTATTAATGAAATTACCCAAACAAAAATCATTAAGGCTAAGTCTAACTTGAAATTAATCTGTCAATTATTAAGTAATAAAATAGTTTTCCAAGAGCTACCCTTAAATATTCAGAGAGCAGCATTGTGGATATATCTGGCTATACGCACACACAACTTAGAAGGGAAAATATATAAATATACATCCCAGTAAGTCTGTTCTCAATGGGTTTGGGGTCTTGCTCCCAAACCATCTTTACTTCCCTAACATGTACTCTTCAAGTTAAATACCATAGTTACCAGTTTTTATTCAATAATTATCAGTATGAATTCACACATAAACCAATCAGCTCTGGTCTGTTATATGACTCCAGAATGCAACTCCAACTCTGATTAGATGTTTTTTGAGTACCCAGCTATTTAGAGAAGTGGTCAAACCACAGGTCTAAATAAGTTCCATAAGGCGGGGATCATGCCTATTTTTGCTCACTCGCCAGTAGAGCTAGAGACTAGCATCAGGCCTGAAATACACTAGGTACTCAATAAAATTTACTGAACGACTGACGGTATGAGTAACAAGCGAAGTCTGAGGGCAGCGGTCATGCTAAGAGTGGTTCAGAGGCTTCATCTCTACATGTGATGTGTGTAAAACTCCTTAAGGGCCTGAGCTTTGTCTTAGCCTCCTCTGTATTCCTAATGCCTATCCTACAGCAGAGGTTCAATAAATGCTTGCCAAACAAGTAAGCAATTGTAAGTACTAATTCAAGTGCCAAAGTAAAGGAAGATTGAGAGTACATACTCGGCAGGTCAGCTTAAGCTTTTAACTAAAGTTAATTACTTAAATGGAATCATTACTGAGCTTTCCAAAAATCTGAACAATGCAGCCAGTCATATATGAGCGAGCATGTAGGTGTACCTGTCTACTTTTTGTTCTTTCGGAATTTAAACGTTACCAGTTCTATCAAAGCTACTACAAAAGCATTTTGATCGAAAATAACATAGAGGCCTTGTTCCCTTCATTTCCACACCAAATCACACACAGGGCCTTGTTTTCTCCCTTAAGATATGAACACAACAAATATTTTTACCCCAATCACATTCACCCCATGCACTCACACATTTACTACATGTACATGTAAATGTAAACAAAGACACAACACACAGAGGCAAGTGGTGAGCAGATAAAAGACTTAAGTTAGGCTATAAAGAGCAGGAAAGGAAAAGAAGGCCAAAAAAAGCTGATCATCTGAGGCCAGGGCAGTCCCTCCACCCCAAAATCCTTTAATAGGACTCACATGGTGACTGCTCCCATTACACCACAGTGTGTCTAAAAGGGGCAAGCACACTAGTAGCAATGCTTTCAGGTCTGCCTCCTGCAGGAAACAATGACAGCCCTCTAAACTCAGCCAGATTCCAGCAAGTCCCAGGACAACTTATGCATTACAGCACCAACCTTTCAAGACCCACAGTGCCCTCAACTGCCAAGCCCGCAGTGAACACGCAGTAAGGTGCGAGATAAAGGAGAACTTCCGGGGACTTCAGGGAGCAATTACAGCATCTTGTCTCCTCTGTACCAGTTCTTCTCCTGATTTATGCAAAATCTTCAAAATGGTACCCTGATTCGTTACTTACGCATGGCACAGCTATAAGGAGTTGAAATGTTTTTATTCATGACAAAGACAGTGCCAGGGTCAGCTTTCCCAACGTGCTTAACTTCAATCTTCTCAGTTCGGGGAGTTAATGATAGCTGCCTGTTTTTCTCTTTGTTAAAGAGATCATTCTGCATTTCTGTCAGTTCGGTCGGTGACAGCTGAGAAGCAGGTGATGTTGCTATAAATCCTGTGCAGAAGTTACAATAAATGTGAATACTGACCCAAAAAATAATATATTGCCCCACCCTGTTCCCCTCCCGTATCACCATCCTCCAACAAGGAAAGAATAGGAGGCAAGGGAATTTTAAACGCTGTTCACCAAAATGAGTTCAGAAGTAAACTTAAACCCCTTTCTAATATTAATAATTAAAACGCCCACGGAAAAGAACTGCAGCCTGCCCTGATCCGCGCCTTTACTTCAGCTTTGCTCTTTCACCATCAGATCGCCACTTCCCACCAGTTTCCTCGGTCGTATTCCAATCTGTGCTTTACAGTAAGTGGCAAAAAGTAACCAGGAAGTGGAGTCAAAACCAGACCAGTCATTGGAAACGTGAGCAAAACTGTCGCTTTGAAAAGGTCTTGGAGACAAGAAAGCTCCACGAGATTGCAGGTCCCACGCCAAAACTCTCCATATGTAGAGCGAGAGATGCTAAGCTTTATTTTCCAAACCCCAAATCAGAGGATTGGGCAAGGCATGTACGAGTCCAATGGAAAAATAAGGACACGTTTGCACCGGGACGTGGTCTCCCTCCCAGGGGCACCCCAAGCTCCTCCCGCGGCCCCGCCCCTGCCCTCCCCGTCCCTCTCGCGTCCCGAGATATGTACCCCAAGGCCGGGAAGGGGCGGCCAACACAGCAGGGACTCAAAAGACCCTCCTCGGCCCCCAACCCCGCGGGACCCCCCCAGGACCCGCCTCGGGCCCAATCTGGGCATACATCATCCTCTAAGCCTCCCTCCCTGACCCTATGGCCGCTAAAACTCACTCCAGCCAGCCCCGCCGCCGGGGGCGGCCCGCCAGAGCCGCAAGCCCCAGACTCCCACGGCCATTGCCTCCTCCGCGGCGCTAGGAACCACCGCGCGCAGGTCCTTCTCCGTCTTCTTCCCCGGAAACTCCGAGCGCGCACCCCAGGTTCCGTCAGACAGTTTTGTTCCGGGCCGGGCTGTCGGGCAGCATCAGCCACCAGGGGGCGCGCTCGCGCCTCGCTGATAGTCAGTCGCTGGAGGTCTGGAGTCCAGATCCCGGCTTGTTCCCGGCGCGCGGAGGATGACCCGGAGGTCCTGGGCCCCACGGCGGCCGGTCGGCCACTCGGTGGGCTCTGCAGGGGGACAAGCGTCTCCTTTGGAGCCGCAGAGCCCGACACGCGTCGTCACCCTCCGCCCTCCGCGGGTTCGATTCCCCGCCTGCTGAGCGAAACCCTTGTTTCTCTCAAAGTATGTTTCTGGGGAGAAAAACTGAGAAAAGATGACTTCTGTTTACTCTTACTTTCGTGGTCAGCCCGGCCGGCCACGTCGATGGCATCTTCAAGCTCTTGGCTTAACTCTCGGTTTTGCAAGGGTGAGTTCTTAGGGTAGCTGGAGTGGGTCTGCACCCGGCTTCTCCATTTATTTAGCCGTAGTAATATGGACCTCATAACGTGTCCTGTTGACGTAGGAGGGAACTTTGTAATCTGTAGAGCGTTTTACAAATTATCTAGATTAATTTATATACTATATAGACAGCACGTTAAAAGGATCCCATGTTAAAGGGTGGAATTTTTGTCTCTTGTTCACTGATGGATCCCAAGCACTCAGAATGCAGCGTGGCACACAGTAGGTGCTCAATATGTATTTGTTGAACGACTGAATGCCTTTGCATTCAGCGCAGTGTCTGATTCCTTTGTCCGACTAGGATGTTGCTGCTATTGAAGTAAGCATCCCAGAGGTTTAGTATGGAAATGCTCTTATTCAAAGTTGTTTACTGCTATAGCTTTATTTAAATCCTTGACTTGCAATTGAAATCCTCCTTGACTTGCAATTGAAAGACACTACCACCAGGTGGCAATACTGGCTAAGGAACAGATGGGCACCGTGAGACTTACCTCCTGCAGCTAAATTGGGGAACGGTGGTCCTAAGGCACAAACTTAGTTATAAGTACTGGGGATGTAACGTACAACATGATGACTATAATCAACAATGCTATATGGTGTATTAAAAAGTTGCTAAAAGAGGAAATTCTAAAAGTTCTCATCACAAGGAAAAAGTATTTTGTTTTCGTAACTTTATGAGGTGATGGATGTTAACTAAACTTATTGTGGGAATCATTTTGCAATATATACGTATGTCAAATCATTATGCTGTACACCTTAAACAGAGTTGTACATTATTTATAAAACTTCAAGAAAAAAAGAAGACTCTGTGGCTTGTTAGATCTGTCACCTTGACCCAAATTGTACATTCGCAATAACTGCACAGGGAGAGTATAATTATCTTCACTTTTTTTTTTTTCGGTACGCGGGCCTCTCACTGCTGTGGCCTCTCCCGTTGCAGAGCACAGGCTCCGGACGCTCAGGCTCAGCGGCCATGGCTCACAGGCCCAGCCGCTCCGCGGCATGTGGGATCTTCCCGGACCGGGGCACGAACCCGTGTCTCCTGCACCGGCAGGCGGACTCTCAACCACTGCGCCATCAGGGAAGCCCTATCTTCACTTTTTAAATGAGGAATGTAAGTAAGTGTCCGAACTTGGATTTAAACCCAGTCTGCGTTTTACCAGACCACCTCTCAATTAAGATACTATCTCAAAACACGAAATATGCATACATCAATATATATGTGTGCTGTGTATGTATCAGCAAAAAATGTGTATTTTTTGCTTCCTCCTTAAATTTGATCCCTTGGTGATCTTTGTTTCGCTAGCCTTTTAGAGTCTGTCCCCATTTAACCTCATGTAGTTGCCTGCAGAATGTTTTAGAGTGATACTTAAACAAAGCCTCAGAACATAAATTTAAGCAAGTTTAATCATGAATTGCACAGGAAGCAGTGATTGGAAGTCCCAAGTATCACAGAAATTAACTTGGCTGGAAGGATGTTAGAAATGATAATGACCAACAAATACTGAATGTATGGCCAGTCATGTTGAACATGCCAATCAATCAGGTTTTCTCACAACCTACTCATGCAATAAGCATATTATTAATCTTCATTTTCTAGGAGAGGAAATTCAGGTTGAGAGAGCTTGAGAGACCTACCTGAGTTAGATATTTGGCCAAGAATCCCCCAAAATATTTCCTTACCCTAAATCTCCTATCTTGCCCCCTTCTTTATCACCCCTCTCCCCAAATCTTAGTCTCACTCTCTCAATTTCCCTCCCAAATAAAAAGAATCAGGTCTGTGACAGTAAATATCGAAGGTGAACTTGGAGCATCTTATTGTGCCAGAAGGCAAGAAAATACTCAAAGACAGGAAGAAACATGTTAAAAGGACACAAGATTCAGCTTAAAGGGGGCTCCCATTGTACAAATTTAGTTTGAATTACAAAAAGAATAATGATGAAGGATTTTAACGTTATGTATGCTAAAAATCCATGAGCCCATAGTGATACTCAAAAATAAATGGGAGTAGAGAGTGGAGAGGATGTTTTCTTTACAAAAGAATGCCAGGTAACACACAGAGTAGGAATAACAGAATGGGGAAAAGTCAACCATTCTGCAACTAGCAGTGTAATGTTTAAATCAGGAAGGAATCATCTGTGGATACTAAAACCAATGGGGAAAGTTTGTTGAGGGTCAAGATATTCACAAATATCACCCCACAGATTACTGACAAAACATAAAGGGATAAAGGAAAGTTTTCAATGGAGAAATCTGATGGATACCACCTTAACATCGTGGTCAAACTTGTCATCACCCAAAATGGGACAGTTTGACATTATTTGTGCCTCCTTGTTGTGATATAAACAATCCATGTAGTATTCCTACCATAAATGTTGACCCTGAATCTAAAGAATTATGAGGAAGAAAAATCAGATATATCCAGAAAATGATACATTCTATAAAGCAACCGGCCTGTACTCTTCAAAAATATCAGTTTTGTGAAAGATGGACCAAAAAAGGTCAGGGACCTGCTCTAAATTAAAGGAGATTAAAGAAACATACAGCTAGTACCTGTGTATGATCCTTGCTTGGATTATGGATCAGAAAGAAAAAAATGTACAAAGGATATTATTATGAAAGAAATTTGAATATAAACTATATGCTAATTAATATTATTGTATCAATGTTATATTTCTTGGATATGATGATTGTATTGATATAGGAGAAAGGCTTTTTTCTTAGGATATAATGTTGAAATATTTATGGATGTGGTATCTTCACACCTATAAGTAACTCTCAAACAGTCCAGTAAGCATAGAGAGGGAGCAAGAGAAAGGAAGCAAATGTGGCAAAATGTTACCAATTGGTGAAGCTAAGTGAGGGGCTGATGGGCCCACACTTTCAACTTTATTCTCAAATTTTTCCAAATAAAAAGTTGGGGGAATAACCACAGTAGTTTTCAACCACAAAAGTCGGTTTTGCACACACTGCCTGTCAGGGACAGCAGCTACAGGCCCGCTGGAGCTCTGCAGTATTATCCCAGAATCCACGCTGTAAAAGCAGCCCCTGCTTGGGACTTGCGATTCTGTGGCAAAAAGAAAAGAGAGCAAGGACTCATCAGGACCCTTCAGAGCTTCTGCTCCGATCCAGCTGGTTCTCAGCCTCCGAGTCCCCTAACCCCAGCAAGTCCCACAGCCAAGCCCAGTGGAGTCCGGCAGGAGGTGTCTGCCTTCTGCAGGGAGCCAGTAAATGAAGTTATAAAAGTCTCCATCGAGAAACAGAACACTGAAATCTAGAATCCAGTAACACAGTTATTTTCCCACAATCACAAGATGAGCTGAGACTTAAATGCAGATTGACCTCCAAAGCCGATGCTTTCTTTTTTCTCAAATTTACATGTTTTTTTAAATCCAAATAGTTGATTTTACATCTTCAAATTATTATACATTTACTCACTTGGAAAATCAAAAACAATATCATACCATGGAAAATTTCCTCCCAGCTTCTTTCCCCATTCACAAGTTCTTAACCAAAACCTGACAGGAGTTACCACCGTTGTTAATTTCTTATGTATCCTTGAGTGTTCTTGAGGCCTCAGTCTGCTAACCCAAACAGATAATCTTATTTTCCACCCTTTTTGACCCAAAATGCAAGCAAGCAAACATGTGGTTCTTTGCCTTGAAAAGTTGTACTTTTTATCAGTTTGTGTTCATCTGTTTCCCCTAAGAGCCACCAAGACAGAGTTAATCAAGCAAGGGTTTTATTAGGGGAAACACCTATGAGAGAAAAGGGGGAGGAGCCTGGTAAAGCTGACCCCTCATAAAATAGAGAAGGAAAGAAGGTAGAGAGGAGGCTAAAGAAGGGTCATCAAGGCTTTGAGGGGTGTCCTTGAGCCAAAGCCCACCACCAGAGGGGTCCCAGTCTAGCAGGAGTGGATCTGCCGTAGTGTCGGGCCACACCCAATCTTTGGCTGGGAGCAGCCTTTGGGGGTGTGGCTGCAAACACGGCCATGGATTTCAGAGTCAGCAGCTGGGGCTCTTGGTCAGTGATGCTCCCTGTACTTGGAGGTCTGTGAAGCACACAAGACAAGCTGTGTTTAAGAAGTTCAAGAAGCACTTGCTATGCATTTTACATTTCCTACGTGTTACACACACACACACACACACGCACACATGCACATTTCAAACAGTTATCTCACATCAGGGCACAATACCCTCTGCTTGCACCTGGCCTGACAGGTGAGGACAGACAAGCTACCCCTAAGAAATAACGAAAGAGAAAAAGCAGGTGCAACCCATAGCTAAACTTCAACATCAGTCCTTACCAACTCTCTAATGGGCTGAGGTGGCAGCGGAGGGTGTGTGGGGGTGTGTGACTGTGTGCCTGTATGTGTTGGTGGGTTTCTGGAGAAATGAAATGCAGTTGAATATAAAGATGTACATATAGTCCACTTCATCCGCTACCATTCCTCCTTAAACCATCCCTTT